GTCGTTCTCTCTCGCTCTCGCGTCGTCGCCGTCGTCGTCGTCGTCGTCGTCGTCGTCGTCGTCGTCGTCGTCGTCGTCGTCGTGGTCGGTCCCCTGTTCGTCTGGTCGACGGTCCGCGGCCGCCACGCCGATCAGCGCTGCCGCTGGCCAGGCCGACGGTCCGCGGCCGCCCCGCCGCTTGCCGGGGCCCCGCCTGCAGGGAAGAAATATAGATCCCCCAAGAGGGGTTCGATCGAAGACGAAGAGGGCGGGTATCGAGGGTTTGGGACACACGCGTTGTTGTCACTCGAGCAGATAAGGGCGACCAGTCTTAAATGATTGTTGTTGTTGTTGTTGTTGTTGTTGTTGTTGTTGTTGTTTCTTGTATCCGGGGGCCAACAACCCAGTCTGAGCCCCATTACTACCTTGATAGAACATCAGGGTGCGAGCCCTGGGGGAAGAGCACTTCAAGTGAAACGCACAATAGTCACCGGAAGGGGGGGATCAACATACATTATTCTTCAGTAGTGAAAGTTCAACCGTCCGCACCGCAGAACCTCTCTTCAGCCACGCGCCCAAGGACAGTGAATGACCGTTTGGCCCCCCCACACTTTGGTGGATATAGATGTTTAGCAGCGTGGACCCCACACAACGTGTTTCTAGCAATGCATGTGGTGCTGCCTATGTGGATCTATGCATGTTGTGCAACCTATGCAGCGCAACATCTGTTGTACACTTTGTGTTGTGCATTGTAGTTGGCGACATCTACGTGATGCAATCTATGTGGAGCAATATATGTGGTGCAATCTCTGTGGGGCAATGGAAATGGTGCAACTCGCGTGGTGCAGTTGACGTGGATCAGTCTATGTGGTGCCAATTATGTGGTGCCTCAGATGTTGTGCAAATTAACCCTGGGAAGCAATCAGTAAACCCCCCTCCCCCCCCCCCCCCCCTCACCAGAGGAATTTATAACGCTTCCGGCACCGGGGCCGGGGCGGAAGCGATATCACCCGCAGGTCACCAGAGGTCCGCGGAGGGGAGGTCCCCGGAGGTTCCCAGGAGGCATCCAGAAAGGCCTCCACAAGCCTCTGAATGCCCGGTCCCCTTGTAGTCCAGAGCCCAGCGACAAGGCACACCTGCCCAGAGTCGCTTTCTGTGATTCTGTGCGTTTCTGTAAGATTCCTCAGTGATTCTTCTGATACTCCGATCGGCTTCTTTTGAGATTCCTTATCGTTTCCATTGTGATTATTTGGGGACTCCTTAGAGACTCCTCTGGTGTTCCTTTGATGTTATTCTGGGGGTCCCTTTAGGCTCCGGTCATATCCCTTTGATGCCCCATTGCTTGAGAGCATCACATCGACATCTGGGGCCGGTGGATTATTTTATTTTTATAAATGTGCTAACATATCGCGGGGGGGTTCGCGGAATGCGTCTGCGATATCTTTCCGTGGACTCTCCCATAGGATCCCCTGAAATAATCAATTTCCCAGGTGCGGTCGCAATAGGGATTGCTTATGTCCACGCGAGCCCGCGTTTTCCAAGTTCCTTAGATTCCTTTTTGTGATTCGTTTGAGCTGCCGCTGAGATGCCTTTGCGATTTCTGTTGGGCTCCTTTGAGATTGCTTTGAACTTCCGTTGGTTCCTTCGATATCATGCGTGGGATTCCTTGTGATATTCTTATGGGATTCCTTTGGGGGTCCTTTCAAGTTCCTCTGACATTCCTTCGACAATCCCTGAAGGGAGCATCACATCGACCTCCGGTGCCTGTGGATTATTTTATTTTCAATAAATGTGCTAACATATCGCGGGGGGGGTCGCGGAATCCGTCTGCGATATCCCTCCGTATAGGACCCCGTGAAAAAAAAATCCTTATTGCGGCCGCAATAGGGTTTGCTTATGTCCACGCGAGCCCGCGTTTTCCAGATTCCTTAGATTCCTTCGTGGTTCGTTTGAGCTGCCGCTGAGATCCCTTTGCGATTTCTGTGGGGTTCCTTTGAGATTACTTTGAATTTCCAATAGGGTCCCTTTGAGATTCTGCGTGGGCTTCCTTCTGAGATTCCTCTGGGATTCCTTTGGGGGGTCCTTTCAAGTATAGCTGCTTGCGGTGATTTCATTGTTTGTCATTTTTGATTTACCTTTGATTTCCGATGCGCGTCAGTTTCCCAGTGTTCTAGCAAGGCGGGAACCCATTGGCAAGCCTTCGTGCGCGTTGGTTCTTCAGGCTGTCGCCTCGCGTTGCCGCCAGCTTCGGGCCCGGGGGGGGGCAAATTAATAATTGAATTATTTCATTTTATTCTTTATGTGCTAACGATATCGCCAGAGGACGCCGCACAAAATAATTATTTATGTTATTTTCTGTGCTAGCGATATCGCCGGGGGGTTTACTGTTTGCTTCCCGGGGTTATGTGGTGCCATATCTATGTGGTGCAATCTATGTCGTGCAAGCTATGAGGCGCGATCGGTGTAATGCAACCGATGTGGTGCAATGAGTGCGGTGCAACCTCTGCTGTGCAACAGACGTAGTACAATCGATGTGATGTAAGCTGTGTGCAACCGTTGCTGTGCACCTGACGTGATGCAATCATGCAGTCTATGAGGCGGCGACGTGGCGGCTGCGGGGTTGCGACGGTGGCATCCTGACCGCCAGACCGCCAGACAGGCCCAGACGACGGGCGGCTACGGGGCAGCGACGGGTCGGCGACGGCTGCCGCGTAGCCGTCAGACCGAAGACACGGCCCAGACGACGGGCGGCGACGAGGCGGTGATGGGGCGGCGACGGCGGCCAATACATCGTCGGATCGAAGACACGGCTCAGTTCCTCACAGCAGGAGTAATAACCCCTAATTACGTGGAAGCACTGCTTCTACAAACCATATCCATACATACATATCGATTGAGAAGTGAGAAAGAGAGAAAGAGAGAGAGAGAGAGAGAGATATCCAGAGAGCGAGAGAGAGAGAGAGAGAGAGAGAGAGAGAGACAGAGAGCCAGAGCGCGACAGAGAGAGAGAGAGAGAAAGACAGGAAGAGGGCGAGAGAGAGAGAGAGAGAGATGGAGACAGTGAGGGGAGGACAGCATTTCGCCAGCTGCGCGGAGCCAATTTGCCACCGCGTCGGGGTGCTCTCCCCTCCTGCCTCTCACCTTCCGTTCCAGCGTTTGTCCGAGTTCGGAAGGAGGTAGGAATGTGGAGACGACAGAAGGAGTGTGAGGGCCCCCCTCTCCCGGCTTCCCTCCCTCCTCTTGCCTCCTTACAGTGGGGGCCCATGCCAAGAGACACCCTATGTGTCTCCAGGGTGCCCTGGGTTTCTTGGGTTTCGATGGTTTTGTTGTGGAAGGCGTGACGTTCCCACACCAGAACTCAAGGAACGTCCTGGGGTCTGGGGTTTGGCTTCTTGTGGAAGGTTTCTTGTGGAGTGGCCTCCACTGTATCCCTCCTCGTCGGCATCCCTCTCATCCTGTCGGGTGAGTGTACCACTGCCGCAACTGCTGCGCCCTGGTGCGCTCATCTGTTGCCGCGGCTCGTGCTCCTCGCCCCCTCTCCTCCTCCTCGTCCCCTCTTTCACGGAGCCATTATTTACGTGTGTGTGCTGATTCTTCGTTGGTTTGTGCCTCAATGTTCGTGCCGGCTGTGCGGGTCGTGTCCGTCATGCGTATGTCGTCTTTGCTCGAAGAATTTGACGTAACGGTGGCAGCCAAGGATGCGTGTTCTCGTGTTGTGATGCGCCACTACGTTTCGCATGGCTTCCTTTTCTGATGCGGAGGGTGCACCGAATGACACGGGCACTAGGGTCCACTCCTCCTCCTTCTCACTCCCCCAAGCCTGGAACATATCCGTGCCCCTATGGTTGCCATCACCCCATCTCGACGCCGATCTTGAGGCCTCCCCTCGGTTTCTGAGGGCGCATCCCTCGGACTGTCATCGCCGTGGGCCTTGTGAGTCTTAGGGACAGGGAGAAGGTCGAGGCCGGTACCATCCCTCGCCCCTATCGGGCTGCGTGCCGCCCGGGGCGTGGTCTCGAGGCTTCCCTCGGTTTCTCGGGGCGCAGCCCTCGGACTGTCATCGCCTTGGGCTTGTCCGTCCTAGGGACAGGGAGGAGGCGGAGGAGGAGGAGGAGGAGGAGGAGGAGGCGGAGGAGGAGGAGGAGGAGGAGGAGGAGGAGGAGGGGGAGGAGCAGGAGGCTAGGAGCGGGGGGTGGAGGAGGACGGTATGGGAGGCGGGGCTGAGGGAGGAGGATGAGGAGGAGGGGAGGGGTGGGTTGGAGGAGTAGGAGGAGGAGGAGGAGGGGAGGAGGCGGGAGGCGGGGCGGAGGCGGAGGCGGGAGGAGGAGGAGGTGGAGGGAGGGGAGGAGGAGGAGGGGAGGAGGAGGAGGAGGAGGTCGAGGCCAGTACCATCCTTCGCCCATTCGGGCTGCGTGCCGCCCGCGGCGTGGCCTTCAGGTGGGGCGGCGGAGCGGCTCCGTCCGCGAGCCGGGGCCGCCTGCAGAGGCAGGCGGCCACGAGAGCCTCGCGCCCCGGAACTCCCGCGCGGCGGTGTCTCGGCCCACTCGCGGGCGGGTGTGCGGCAGACGCCAGGAACCCTTCGAGTCCGACCCGATCCTCCTCCTCCTCCTGCTCCTCCTGCTTCTCCTCCTCCTCCTCCTCCTCCTACCTTTTTCGTGTTTCCCCTGCTCCTCCGCTCCTCCTCTGCTGTCCTCCTGCTCCCCGCTCCTCCCCGCGCGGCGTGTTTCGTCCACTCGGCAGCGAGTTTCCACGCAGACGCCAGGGACTCCTCGAGTCCGATACGATATCCTCCGTTCATCCGTCTCCTTCTCCTCCGTCTCCTTCTCTCCCCTCCCCCCTCCTTCTCCTCCCATTCCCTCCTCCTCCTCCTCCTCCTCCTCCTCCTCCTCCTCCTCCTCCTCCTCCGCCTCCTCCTCCTCCTGCACGCGCCCCGTCCTGGGCGCGCGCGCCCTCCGCGCGCGCCCTCGTCTGCGCCCTCGCGCGCCTCCCTGGCGACCTTTCGTCCCGCGTGCCGCGGGGAGGCTGCACGCGGCGGCCAAGGTCGGCGACGCGGCCGCGGCCGAGGCGCCCGCTCCCGCTCCCGCCTTGGCCGGCCTGTTGGGGACGCAGGTGACCCAGCGACATTTTCCCTTCGCATCCTCCTCCTCCTCCTCCTCCTCTTCCTCCCTTCCCTCTCCTACTCCTCCCTCCCTCCCTCCCCTCCACCTCCTCCGTCCTTCCTCATCCCTCTCTTCCTTCTCCTCCTAGCCCTCATCCTTCCTCCTCCTTCTCGCTCTCCCTCCTCCTCCTCCTCCTCCTCCTCCTCCTCCTCTCCTCCCCTCCTCCTCCTCCCTCCTTCCTCCCTCCATCACCTCCTCCTCCTCCTCATCCTCTCTTCCTTCTCCTCCCCCCTCCTGCTCCTCATCCTCCCTACTTCCTCCTCGTCCTCCTCCTCTCCTCCTACCTCCTCCTCCTCCTCCTCTCCCTCATCCTCCTCCTCCTCCTCCTCCTCACTCCTTCACCCCTCCTCCTCCTCCTCCTCCTTCCTCCTCCTCCTTCTCCAATCTTTTTCCTTATGAGTAACTTCGTCCTGTCGCACCCCGAGTCCAGTTTTTCGGGTGGGCGGGGCGTTTCGCCTGAGACTTTCGCACCAATGATGATCTTGAAGCGTACAAAGTGATGGAAGGCTGGCCGTTTTCAAAATGTGGCTCTCGCCTTAGCGCCCCGCACATTCGTTTTAAACAATGGTAAGAGTTTCGCGGATTGAGGGCGGGTCGTTTTCAAAATGGGGTTCTCGCCTGAGCGCCGCGCACATTCGTTTCAGAATTTCTCAAGAGCTTCACGGATTGAGGGCGGTTCCTTCAAAATGTGGTTCTCGCCTTAGCGCCGCGCACAATCGTTCATGACAGTTGGGAGATTTTCACGGCTTCCCATGACCAACGTACCAAAATGGGTGTTTTGGACAGATTCAGGATTCTGAGGGTGGAACAGTTATGTTGATCCGCGGTGTTGAAGTCCCCAAAATTGCATGCCGGCACGAGTCCGGATCGTCAAGACTCAGCAGTCAGTTTGATCCGTGGCGTTGAAATCCGAGAACAATGTTTTGGCATGCGTCAGGGTCTTCAAGGGTGTCTTGTCTTCCAACGAGGCAGTTTCCTCAATGGAAAGGGAGCCTGGAGGGAGGGTTAATTCCAACATCGTGGACGACTCTTTGGTTTACACTGGTCCTCCTCCTCCTCCTCCTCCTCCTCCTCCTCCTCCTCCTCCTCCTCCTCCTCCCCCTCCTCCTCCGTTTCCTCCTCCTCCTTTTCCTCCTCCTCCTCGCCCTCCTCCCCCCCCCGCCGGGGCGCCCGCTGCCGCCTGGCCGCCCCCGCTCCCGCGGGCCTCTGGGGCGCCGGTGGCCCAGCCACATTCCCCCCCCCCTCCGCAGTGTCTCGCAGGCGCGAGGGCTCCTTGCAGAGCGGGGGGAGCGCATGCCAAGAAACACCCTGCTTGAGGGAAAGAAGCACACAGACACAATTAATCGTCCACTCCCAGGAAAATATAGGAAAATATGGGAAGTGGGTGGGAAGACAGAAACCCAGAACATATAAGAAAATATAGGGAAACATTTTGTGTGTCCAAGGGCCCCTTCAACCCTGCTTGCCTCCAGGGTGCCCTGGGTTCCCTGGATTTCGATGGTTTTGCGACGGGAAGCGTGACGTGCCCACGCCAGCAAATCAAGTGGCGCCCGGGGGTCTTAGGGTCGGGTTTCTTGTGGGAGGTTTCTTGTGGTCGAGCTCCGACTGTAGTCCATGTCCGCGCCGCCCCATGTCCTACGGTAATCCTGTTCCACCCATACCTCTACCCCTCGCGCTCGTTTTCCTCTTGTTGTGCCTCCTGGGTGGCCCTCGTTTCCAGCAGCACGTTTCACAGCCTTGCGGTGCCAGGGGGACCAGCGGATGTTGAGTCTTGTTTCTTTTCGCTCTTCCTCTCTCTTTTTTTTCCCAACCATCCTGTGGTGTTGGGTCCTCGTTTTGAAGAGACGGTGCCCCGCGTTCCTCCTTCCTCCTCCTCCTCCTCCCTCCTCCCCCTCCTTGCCTCTGCTCTCGGCACACCTCTCACGCGTTTCGTAGCCCCATAGGGAGCTCCACCGAAGGCCCCAGTGGGGGTGTTCGCATGCGGTTCCCCCACCCAGGGCAGCGTTTCGTGGCCCCATAGGGAGCTCCACCCGAAGGCCCCAGTGGGGGTGTTCGCATGCGGTTCCCCCCCAGGGCAGCGTTTCGTAGCCCCATAGGGAGCTCCACCGAAGGCCCAGTGGGGGTGTTCGCATGCGGTTCCCCCACCCAGGGCAGCGTTTCGTGGCCCCATAGGGAGCTCCACCGAAGGCCCCAGTGGGGGTGTTCGCATGCGGTTCCCCCACCCAGGGCAGCGTTTCGTAGCCCCATAGGGAGCTCCACCGAAGGCCCCAGTGGGGGTGTTCGCATGCGGTTCCCCCACCCAGGGCAGCGTTTCGTGGCCCCATAGGGAGCTCCACCGAAGGCCCCAGTGGGGGTGTTCGCATGCGGTTCCCCCACCCAGGGCAGCGTTTCGTGGCCCCATAGGGAGCTCCACCGAAGGCCCCAGTGGGGGTGTTCGCATGCGGTTCCCCCACCCAGGGCAGCGTTTCGTGGCCCCATAGGGAGCTCCACCGAAGGCCCCAGTGGGGGTGTTCGCATGCGGTTCCCCCACCCAGGGCAGCGTTTCGTAGCCCCATAGGGAGCTCCACCGAAGGCCCCAGTGGGAGTGTTCGCATGCGGTTCCCCCACACAGGGCAGCGTTTCGTGGCCCCATAGGGAGCTCCACCGAAGGCCCCAGTGAAGGCCCCAGTCGGGAGTGTCTCGCATAATGCGGTTTTTCCCCCAACCCAGGGCAAGCGTTTCGTGGGCCCAATTAGGGAGCTTCCACCGAAGGCCCCAGGTTGGGGGTGTCTCGCATGCGGTTCACCACCCAGGGCCAAGCGTTTCGTAGGCCCCATTTAGAGTGGAGATCCCCGAAGGCCCCAGGGGGGATAGTTCGATGCGGTTTGAACCCACCCAGGGCAAAGCGTTTCGTGGCCCAAATAGGGGAGCTCCACCGGAAGGCCCCATGTGGGGGTGTTCGAATTGCGGTTCCCCCGCCCAGGGAAGCGATTATTGCGATAGACCCCATAGGGAGCTCCACCGAAGGGCCCCAGTTGGGGTGTTCGCCAATTATGCGGTTCCCCCCCACCCAGGGCAGCGTTTCGTTGGCCCCATAGGGCGAGCTCCACACAGCGAGCTCCACCGAAGGCCCCAGGGGGGGTGTTCGCATGCGGTTCCCCCACCCAGGGCAGCGTTTCGTAGCCCCATAGGGAGCTCCACCGAAGGCCCCAGTGGGGGTGTTCGCATGCGGTTCCCCCACCCAGGGCAGCGTTTCGTGGCCCCATAGGGAGCTCCACCGAAGGCCCCAGTTGGGGTGTTCGCATGCGGTTCCCCCACCCAGGGCAGCGTTTCGTTGCCCCATAGGGAGCTCCACCGAAGGCCCCAGTGGGGGTGTTCGCATGCGGTTCCCCCACCCAGGGCAGCGTTTCGTGGGCCCCATGGGAGAAGCTCCACCGAGGGCCCCAGTGGTGGGGTGTTCGCCATGCGGTTCCCCCAACCAGGCAGACTGGTTTCGTAGGCCCCAAAGGGAGAAGCTCCCGTGAAGGCCCCGGTGGGGTTTCGCCAGCGGTCCCACACCCAGGCACAGCGCTTTTTCATTCCGGCGATTGGTGGGGCACCATAGGGAGCTCCACCGAAGGCCCCAGTGGCGCAGTTCGCATGCGGTTCCCCCACCCAGGGCAGCGTTTCGTAGCACCATAGGGAGCTCCACCGAAGGCCCGCCCCGGTGGCGCAGTCCGCATGCGGTTCCCCCATCCAAGGCAGCGCTTCGTGGCCCCATATGGAGCCCCACCGAAAGCGGCACCCACAACGCGTTACCAACAATTGCTTATGGTTGGGTCTTTCGCCAGGATAATTTGTTCTCTCTCTCTCTCTTTCTCTTTTGCTCTCACTCCCTGCCAGACTCTCCGTCGCTGTTTCCTCGCCCTTCTCGTCTCCTGTCTCCTTCGAGGCCATCGCCTCCAACTTGATGGCCAAGGGTTCGCAGATGCCGGTGGTCGGATACGGCGCGCTCATCAGCGCATACGCGAAGGCACCCGCTTCGCTTTCGGTGCACTCCTTCTCTGCCTCGGCGCTTTGCGCGTCCTGGTGCCGCATTGTTCGTGTGGCCCCGGCCGCAATGGAGTGTTGGATGCCGCACCCGAAACGGGCGACGCCGACGCTTGGGCGTTGTGGCTACCCCCACCTGCACGAGCAGCAGTTCGGGCATTCGCAGTGCGCCCGCGTGCTCACCAAGAAGCAGGAGAGGTGAACTTTCAACAGCAGTGGAAGTCTTTCCACATCTACAAACGAACTATTCTTTCGCCAGGTCAGTTTAGAGCACATTCTACTTAAATGCAACGTCTGTCCTACGTAACCATCTCAGGACCCTCTTTCTATCCGAACGTATTCCCCAGAACACTCGACCCATTCATCAGGGACCAGTTTGTCGCTCCCGTTTGTTTTCTGTTATCTTCGGTGACCGAAAAGCGGACCCCAGGAGAAGGAGGAGACGGAGAGGGAGACTGAGAGATGCGAGAAATGTGGAGTCGTAGGGGGGAGTGAGGGAGGGGGTTGAAGATACGAAGGATAGATGATTCGAGGAGATAGGATCGAGGATAGGCGGGGGAGAGGAAAATGCGTTCGAGCGGAAGGGAAGAGACGATCGAGAGTACTTGACAGAGCATAGAGGATGTAGTAGTCGTAGTAGTAGTAGTAGTAGTAGTAGTAGTAGTAGTAGTAGTAGGAGTAGGAGTAGTAGTAGTAGTAGTAGTAGTAGTAGTAGTAGTAGT